GACGCGATCTGGGCGGTCCCGCCGCCCGCGAGCTCCGGGGCGAGAAAAGCCTCATTCGTAAGTGCGGATCCGACATAAGTCGGATCCGCGTAAGTCGGGGACTGCTTGTATAAGAAACGGGATAAAGAATAATAATGAAAATATTACAGTTCAGTTATGTAAATCATTCATACAGGCTTACTTGGCCTGTGGGACTCAGAGATGGGCAATAAGAATTATTGGAGTCATTAAAAAAAACTTCAATATTGGGAGCTTCCCACAGAAATCGATAAAAGGCTATACAAACCAACAGAGGGTAAGAAGGGTAGGTTTATCCTTTTTCATAATGCAAGAATTAAATTTAAAGGTTACAAATTTAAAAATGATGAAAGGAAACACTTTGTTCAACATACAATTGGCATATGGAACTCATTGCTACAAGATATAATGTAATTCAAGAGTTTAGAAGGATTCTACTAAGGACTGGTTATCAAGAATATATACATTTGTAACTGTAAATATTAATAAACAAGAGTTTTGAAAGGAATATAAACCTTTATGCTTCAGGCCATAAGCATATTGTTAGAGGTCAAGGAAGAAAACTTTCCTAAGTGCACTTTATTCATACATGTCTATTGCAAGATTCTTGCATTTTCCTCTGAAACAGCTGAGGCTATGTGTACACTGCAGAGCTTTTCCAGGATACCAGAGGTCTGCTTTTCAAAAAAAAAAAAAAAAAAAAAGGAAAAGCAGATGCGTTTTTTCGGCATCCCTATAAATCTTGTCCTATAACGAAGAAAGAATGTTTGGAAAGAGCTTTTTTTTCTGACATTTGACCCCGTGTAAATGGGCCAAATGTCAGGAAAAAAAAGCGGAAAAAGGTACATAAATTGCAGTTTGTGATTTACCTTTTCTGACTTTTCCCTGCTATGTAGACATAGTCTGTGTGAGAAAAGATACAAAATAATTGGACCACTTCTCTGTTCCAAAAAGGCAGTTCCTATAGTTCATTCAATGACAAGAGTTTTTACCGATATCTATTGATTAATGAAATCTCCTTGCTGTTTAATTCAAGGTTTCAAATAGCTGTTTTTGTTGACAATAGGAGCAAAATTCCCAATAGCTTAAATACAATTCTGAAATTTCTTTGGGCAAGCTCTTCTACTTTGCACCACTTGATGGATAGGAAATCCCAGCTGGTTGATAAAGTGGATAGACCCATCTGCTTGCCCTACACAGCAGCATACTGAGGGAGGGAGTTTTGTGGGCGTGAGGCAGAGCACTGGTCCTTCCTTGTCCATCCTTCACAGGCATACATTAAAACAGCCTATATAGCCTACTGTAACTTATGTCAGGGCTGGTCCACTGCAGAATTAGGGAGTCACAGCAGGCTTCCCACAGCATACTACCCCTCAGCTTGAGGCTGAATTTAACCCGTAAACTCGACTTAAAACCCCCCCCCCCCCCCCCCCTCCGGTTTTAGTGTCCAAATTTGTAACATACTAGCCTGTGTGCAGGTTAGCAACTGTAGGCTGGGGATGCAAAACAGTAGTCTATGATTGAATTGGGTTTTTTTTCTTTTAAAAATGCCATCAATTTTTCCTCTGAGAATGTCTGTTATTTCCCAAGGAAAAACAAGCAAAAGAGACCCCTGGTGGAACTGCTCTACAACGTATTTGCTAGCTGCCGTCAGGACTCAAGGTCCCGCTCTTCTAACTTATCAGACTAAAGAACTTGGAGCAATTTTGCACGAGTCGGTTGTTTCCACGCCGCGTTTTTCTCCAAGCCCCTGTACTGTTCAGACGGGGGCATGCACTCGGTTCGCGCGAAGCAAAGGGAGAACGAGGCGCGCACAGCTACACTCACACCGCACAAGTACACGAGGCACGTCGGCCTCTCGGCTCCGTGCGCGAGGCACTCACCTGTCAATACTTATCACACACAAAGTCATAATGGAAGCCGTGCAGCACATCACATCCATGGCGATGAAGACGTTGCAGAAAACGTGCCCAAAGATCCATTCTCCTCCAATGAGGTCGGTGACGCTGACAAAGGGCATGACAGCCACGGCGACCGAGAGGTCGGCCAGAGCCAGGGAGACGATGAGATAGTTGGAGGGCTGCCTGAGTTTCTTTACGAAGCACACGGAGATCACCACCAGGCAATTGCCCGCGATGGTCAGCAGAGTGATGAGGGAGAGAATGGCCCCGATCACAACTTTCTCCATGTTGCCGTAGCTGAGGATCTGCTCCCCGCAGCCGGTGTCATTGTCGGCGGTCAGGCTGGAAGCCGGGCTGGGGCTGGACGTGACATCCTGGATGATGCGCAGCAAGCGGGGGCTCTGGGAGCCAGCCACCATCCCACTGGTGC